GTTAAAGGGTCCATGTGTGTGTGTGTTAGTGTGTCATCTTCAGAGACGTCAAATAGTCGGGAAAAGAATGTCAGGAATCATTTTTGCCACGGTGGAGCCACATGGCACGCTGGCATTCACTTTGGATCAGATGTGCACTGAGAGATTTAACTCAACCTAAGGGGAAATTGTCACCGACCCCCCCGATCCCCCGACCCCTCATCCCACCACCACACACTCACACCTATGACCACCTCTAACGCCCCATTTCGTTCTGCCCCTCAGCATCCTTCATCAACCAGCCCCCGGGCCCCTCATTGTGTCTAAACACACTCTAGCACAAACACATGAATGCAAACACACACCCAGTGTTTCTACTTACACACATTTACATACATGATGTCAGCAGCACTGACACCTGTGGACACACTGAAGGCGACGTCTTCTGTCTCCTATTTATTGTCCATCCCTCCTGCACCGTCTCTGTTACCTCCTCTCCTTTGCAAGTATCTTTCCTTTTCTCCCGCCCTTTCTTTCCTTCCTTCCCTACGTCCTTACTTCCTTCCATCCTCGCTCTGCTCATCTCCCTCCTTCCCCTCCCTTCCATCGGAGATTGCAGAGAAAATAGCTCAGGGCCAGATTAGAGGTTGGCTGCCGCTTTGCGTTACCAGCAAAGATAAATATTCCCAGGATGACTCCCATTGGCTCCAGGGTGTTTATGTGTCAACATACAAACCACACACACACACACACACACTTCCACATAGGAACATACATGTACGGTAAACACACGTGCAACACACACTCCTACACTGCTGCTGTTCTGCACAGGTCAGTGTGTTGTAATAAACTAAACCAAACTGAGTCTTACTTCCCTTTTCAGATGCTTACTCAGACACCCTCATATCCGTGTGTGTGTGTCTGTGTGTGTGTGTGTGTGTGTGTGTGTGTGTCTCATTGGCCAGGTGTTATACAGTATTTGTAGCAACAGTTGTGTTACGTCAGCCACAGGCTCCTGTAAAAATGATGTGAAGCATTGAGTTGAGCAGTTTTGTTTTTGAAGAGCTGTTTTTCATTGTTGAGAATACAGTAAATATTTAGGAGGAGGTGATTTATATTAAATAGCTTAACTGTTAGCCATCGAAAAAATACTCCTCAATAAAGTATTACTGTTTCAGAATGTAAGAGTATACATTGCAACACTTTGATCATGTACAAGTAACACTATAGCCACATGAAGGTACTGTAAGAGTATACATTGCAACACTTTGATTATGTTCAAGTAACACTATAGCCACATATTAAATAATTATTTTTGGATCAGTACATATTTTTTGTGGATATGTATAAATTAAACATTAGTAGAAATGAGAACCATGATAGAAAAAAAAGTGTCTAAAAGTGACGTTTAACAGTGAGACTGAGAAAATATATATCATATCAACACGTGACTCGAAAGTCCTGTGGTTAGTGTATAGATAGATCTTATCATGAATATAATTTATTTTCCTGATTTTCAGTATGATAGTATGACAGTATGTCAGAATGAAATGATATGACTAACAGTGAAGTAAATTTGAGATGCTAGCCATCGTGGAGTTAAAGTTATTGTCGAAGTAGTTGCAAAAGTATGTGTTGTTGTTTATATTTTAGCTGTTCTATAGTAAACAGGTGTGCCTTTGTGCATTGGTCGATACGTTGATATTCTGAAACCATGCATGAGATCAGTTATAGCTAAAGAAAGTGAAAGAATTAACGTCCCGTTGACAATATAAAAAAGAATATTTAAACATATTTTCCTTTAATAATTCATCACAGATTAGATTTATGGAACTTACATTTCAAAAGAAAAAAAAGTGCAGTTGTAAATACTGCGTTGAATTTTTATGCATTGAAGTTTTCATACAAATTATACAGGATATAAATTCACATCCTAAATTTTTTAACTCAGTAATTTCATTCAACCAATTACAGCCAACAAATAATTTAAAAAATTCAACCAATTACAGCCAACAAATAATAATAAATTATTATAAATAGTAAATAAAAATGGTAAAATAATAATATGTAAGAATCATACCCTAGTTACCTTAGTACTTGGTTAGCTACCAGCCCTGTAGGTGGCAGTAATGCACCTAGTAGACAAACAAATGCACCGATAAACAGTTGCGTTATTAAAAAAAAATCAGTTTAAATTAAGTTAAAGTTGACATTTAATCTCCTTCAATATTTCAACATGTTACAGTAACGAGCAACAGTACGGATTATTATGATATATATGTATATAAACAGTCTTTGTTTTTTTTCTCCACACATCTTTCATTACACCGGGAAAATACTTCAACTTTCAACAAGCTAAAAACGTGTCTCTCTTTTTTAACCCTGTTATTACAACAGCATTGAAAAACAACGTTGTAGTTTGTTGTCTTTGAAAACCAGACTTTAAAATGCTATAATTGCAAGGAATTGGTCGGAGATTCTTTAGGGTGTTTTTTCAGCTGTCGTCACACAAGGTTTCTTAAAGTGTAATAACAAACTTATTTTACACAAACTCTCAACTCTCAAAGTCTCAGATCAAAGTGTACTTTAGGGTAGGTTTTGAATAGTGTCAGTTGAATCGTCATTAAAAACATCATAAGGTGAGCCAACTGAAGCCTCAACAGCAGCAATATCATCATGTAGTTTTATCTTTAGTTTAATTGTCATTATATCATTGCCAATATTGGCCTTTGTGCCTGTCTGTCTTCTTATAGGGGTAATGCTGTGGCATGTTCGGTAGGTACTCCTGCCTAACATTAAGACAAGATTCCAGGTTGATTGCTGGAATTACAACGGTGTGAGGGATTTAGTGATGAATGTATGGATGGATGGATGGATTCGTGGATGGATGAGTTGTCGGTGGCCAACCTTCAAATTTGGGAAACTAAAGAAAACTGGAAACATATGGAAATAAGAGTTACAAAAATGTCCTCCTGAAAGGGAAGGAGACTGGACAGATATCATAATAGAGGTATAGGAAGACCATGTGACTTAATATAGGGTATATTAAGTCACAAGGAATGAATTATATCTTGTTGTAGTTCAATATTGATCGACCTGAGTCATCCATTTTATAAATGTCATAAATCTGCTGATTATCTGCTGCTGTTATTTAAGGTTGTTTTTGATTATTTTCTAAAAAAAAAAAAAATCTTTTGTCCAAAGTTTGATATATATTTTTATATATGTACATGAAAATAAGCAAAATCAGCAGTGAGGTCATGTTTGAAGAAAGGCCTTATCAGTTTTGATCAGCTGGGTGCATGGATTTACGGCTACTGTCAGGCCCCTCAGCAGACAGCTGCACTTACAGGGAGGCGGGAGGTGAAGACTAGAAATTTATGAGACATGTCAGAACAAGACTGATATTTTCAAGCTGCACATTTTTTTTCTGTTTGCTGGAGAGCTGGAGACTTGTGTGTGTGTGTGTGTGTGTGTGTGTGTGTGTGTGTGTGTGTGTGTGTGTGTGTGTGTGTGTGTGTGTGTGTGTGTGTGTGTGTGTTTGTGTGTGTTTGGACAAAGCCCTAAAAACACAAACACACACACACTACGTTCTATTTCGTACACATACACACGCTTGTATAATCGCACAATTAACCTCATACCAACGCTCCCTCCTGCACACGCACACACACACCACACGTTGTTAAAGGCTTTCTAGTCTTTAATAACGTGTGGCATGTATGGTATAAAATAAAGTCTCATTGACAAACACGCCCAAAACAGGTGCTCACATAAGGAAATGAAGTCTGACTAAGAGATCATTATCATACCAGGTTCACAGCTGAAGTTGTACCACACACTGACTCAGAATCTATCGGTCTTTTAAGAAGGATACTTTGTAAAGCCTAACGCATCTCACGTGCATGATTTGCATGATATGTTTTACTGTTTCACACCACACCATCAGATAGTTTACAACAGCGTTTGTCTGTGTGTGTGTAAACATGCAGAGATATGAGCTGTATCGCTCTGCCATCACCCACGACTGGAATCTCATTCTTCATCGTCGCACTCCCCTCCTCTCCCCTCCTCTCCCTTCCCTTCTTCACGCCTGTTCATCCAACAGTGGTTACATGCTAGAACCGTTGACAGTGCAAGTCACGCAACTTCAGCTTTTTTTTTTTTTTTTTTTTTAAGATATTCTGGGTAAGCAGGTGCATGTGTAAACACAACGTCCTATGTAGCGTCTTAGCATCACTGGGACTAGCGTAGACACAGAAGCACAAAGTTGACAGCCAAGCAGAAACTTGACCTTGGTGGTTTATAATGGTGGTTTAGAAAAATGCATAAACCTTTATTTAAAAAAAACACACAACTTTAAAAACCATCTTTAAAGCTAATGAAACATAGCAGATGCAACACCAGTGTATTCCATAACAAAAATTAGTTAGTAAGTTAATGCTACAAAAGAGTTTGGTCATTTATTAGTTATATTTTTACATTGATTTATGTATTGGCATAGAGTAAGTTTTTTTACATCATAATTGTAACTTAAATAGTCAAATAGCTAAGTTTAGGGAGATTAACATCACTAGCATTTAGCTTTTCTCTTAATCTATCTGTGATTGTTTTGTTGCAAAGTTGTAATTGTCTTATAGAACTACTTTCTCCCAACACTGTTGTGCTAAAGCAGTGTTTTTTCAACCTTAGGTTTACAACCCGACATGGGGTCGTTTGAAATGTCTAGTAATTGATACAATGAAAATTATTGATTAAAATATTTTTTCAACTAAATGTGAATGTTTTTAAATTAGCTCTGTATTTGCAAGACAGTATAACAACCATGTTTAAAAAAATAATTCTATGGAAAAAAATGGGGGTGACGTGAAGTCATAAAAGGCTGGGAACCACTGTACTACAGTCTAATATTCTGGTCTTTACATTTCTGAAAGGTAGCTGTGATTTACTTCTTTAATTAAAATCCGGAACAACAAAAAGAAACCACCTTCTTTTTTCTTCTCTCTCTTTTTGTTCTCCAGTTATCGAAGGAGGAGTTCAGCCCGTACGACTCTGACACCTTTTCATCACCACATTCTCTCGTTATGCAAAAGCGGCGTTGTGGCTGAATGCTATTGGTAAGTACTGTAAACATCAGTGCCTTTCTCTGCCTCCCTCTTACACAATAGTGTCCAACATAATTGAGGCATGTGCCGTGCGTGGGTGTGTGTGTGTGTGGCTGTGACGCGGGCCGGATGAATGACTGGTGGAAAGTAAAACCAAAAGAATAAAGGGAACAATGGCTCGATGTATTTGCTAAAACAATTCTTTGGTGATTTTTGTGAATGAAAATCCTTAAAAAAATAATCAGATGAAGACTTTGTTTAAACTCTGATCCAGTAGCAGCAACTTTGTCTAAATACTATTTACATAAATGTTAGGACACAAGTTGCCTAAGTATGCCCCCCCCCCTCCACTCCTCTCCTGTCCCCCCATCTATCCCCTCCCTTCGTCTGAGAGGACGGAGCACGGCCTCCTCCGTTGACTATCCTGCTCACTGCAAACATGTCTGGACAGCTTTGTATCTCATCCCTCTTTGGATAAACACAGGCAGGAAATGAATGTGGTTTTACAATGATTCACTCCATACTGGAAGCATTTGCTGTCAAAGAGATCCATTCAAAGCAGCTTTGGCTTCACATGTTTACTATTTTCTTATTCCCGGGTAGATATATATCTGTTGCCTGGCTAGTTCCTACCTCTAAAACACAACACACCTTATCAAGGAAAAGCTCAAGCACCTTATCATGTTTTTATCGTGTGTGTGACAGAGTCGATCCCCTGCGACGTGAGTTCATTCGTCCGAGCGATTCCCTCTCTGTCTCTTGGCTCTTCTGTTTTGTTTTGTCTCTTGTTCTCCACTTCTGTTCTGCTGTGTTCTGTTTTGTTGTCTCCTCAAAAATCCCACCAGGCTGCACCTTTTCTCTTCTGCTCTGCTATCTTTACGAGAGGAAAGTCAGAGAAGTGCCTGAGGCCAAGACTTAAAACCATGCAGTACAGCTGGGCAGGACTGTCAGTCGGAGTAATGAGTTTTACCTTTAGCTGAACCATTAACGGCTGCTGCCTGCCTTGTGGTGTTTCAGCTCTGAAGTGAGGACAACACTCGTCCACTCAACGCCTCATCTCTCCGGCTGTAATGACTCGCCAACGTTTAACGCTGATCATCATACACACAGAGAGCCCTTTTTGTGGGGTCTTCAGCAGTTGACTGACCTCTGACAGGAAATCACTTTGAACAATTTAACACAGCGGGTCGTTGGGTTTTCCATTTGGTACGCATGTACTGTATGTATTCTTCAAATTACAACGTTGGAGTATTATTGGTTCACCAGAGGCTCCAGATAGGTTCAGCCACAGAGTGTATTACCAAATATATACCTATGGTAATTATATTTTCGGTTTGTTTTCTTTTTCTTACTCCTGAAAATATCCAACAACTTTGCTTTGACTTGCCCCGGTTAAAAATGCAGGAAGTAGGACACCCACTCACCCATTAACTGCAATTTATCTGCACAGTTCCTTGCTGTTCTGATACTTTCAAGTGTCTTCACTGAACGGTTCAGAGAAGCCCTTTGGGCAACAATCAGACCGCATAATGTGGAAGGAATAACCCGCTGTGACGACACCAGAGAAAATTATAATCTGACACAGAATTTCAGTCAGAAATGAAGAAATAGTGTCAAACATGACGCGTTTGTTCCAGCGGTTCTGTTTTTTTATCTAAAGTGGATCAAGGTGATACATGTGGCAGAAGCTGGGGGGTATAGTGTAGTAGCGGCTATTTTTTGCACAGATCTTTGTAAACACAGTGTTATGTCAGTAACATGTTAATAGTGGCGTAAAAATGGAAGAAGTCTTTGTCCAAAAATCCACATGTCGACAAAGCAGTGGGAGACTGAATTAACCTCCTAAAAACTCGCTCTTGAGGAAAAACAAATCTGATTTGGAGTCAATGCCGTGGCCTGTGCTCGTCTTCAACGTGTCTGCCGGGTTTTAAAGTAAATACTGTCTCATTTTAGTCATGTGAAAGCCTTTGTGTGTAAAAACAAGACAGGAAAAGAATGGATTTGTTCCGTCTACGTGTCACACTCTCAGACACGCACCAGTACAAACAACCTCCAACGTTTCTAACAGCACTCTGAAAAAACAGATGTATTCTTCAGAAACAGTCACAGCAAAGAGATTGCCAAAGTAAGTTGTTCACGTTCGTGAAACTCCTCACCGTTGCTATGACAATGTCAGGTGTGTAAAGTAATATCGTTGAACCTTTTGAAAATGTTCCTTAGAATTTCTTCGTAGATAACCGACAGCTGCTTCCATTTTTGCCGAGGCAAGTGTTGACCAGAGATGAACTTAGGCGACAGCTTTCTTTCTCACAGATCTCATTTTCATCCCAGGTTAGCAGTCATGTCATGTGCCGTTTAAGGCGTATCCGTAGAAATGCTATTGACAAAAAAGGCACATTTATAAACCTTCAAAAATTGCATGGACAATGTAAAATGTGTAACTTGTAATCGAGTTCAGTTGTCCTGTGAAAACAGTGTTTTTACAGTTTCACGGTCCATTTCATGTTTTTACACTTTAGACACAACACATAAGGTTCATGTTTGACCTCATTTTGACCGGACACAGCCCACGGAGCATTCTTAATGAAGCCTCAGTTATTTAAGTGATTCCCAAATCGTGATTTCACCCCAGTCTTTGCACATAGATTTATTAATGACTCACTGACTCTCAAAAATAAATTATTATTATTTTATTAATGACTCACTGACTCTCAAAAACAAATTATTATTATTAACAACAACAATAAAAATAAATGGTAACAACAACAACAATATTAATAACAATAATAATAATATATATTAGAAAATAAGAACAAATGAAGAGCAAAATTATGTAATATTAATGGATAATATCAAAACAGGCATTATATCCACCCTGAAAATACAATAGAATTGCATATTTTGTAACGAAAGGTCTTTGGAGTCTCAGTGAGTGTGTAATTTCCTCCATATGGTACCATCCCTTAACTTCCTGTATACAATAACATTTCTTTTTACTTAAAAACATGATAAATCAAAACAACTGTTGTTTAAATAACATTTGATTTAAGAAGATCCATTCATTTGATTTGTTTTAATCACTAATCATTTTAATGCTCCATCAGTGTAGCATTAGCGTCTCTGCGTCTCTGTGTGTTAGTCCAGGGAATCAGCCATGTGTGGACCACTGATGAGGAAATGAATGGGTGAGCAGTGAGGCACAGACAGATCAATAATCCCATCTAATCCATCATCTTATTTTACTGGATCACACAAGTGTTATTTTTCCACGGTTGTTTCCTATTGATCCATGGTTTAAAATCTGTCCAGAGTGATTGGGGAATTTTACCCCTCCGCTCCCACGATTTCTGACTCTGTCAAAGCGGCAGAAGTTACTGTGTGCTAACCACTGAACATGTCGTGTTTACAGGCCTGTTTGTTGATCAAACAGCTTGTTCCCATTACCGCTCTCAGATCAAGGTGAACAGGACTTGCTTACACATTTGTTAGCAGGGGAGACACCAGATGCTTTTCATTAGATAGATGAGCAGCGGCAACCATCCTGTGTGATTTATCTGTTTTTGTGTCAGGGTAAATAAAAAAAAAAGACAGAGGAGAATGTTAACTTGGGTTGGAGGGTGCGTTTGTGTGAGTGAGAGCATGTGTCTGTGTAGCCCGGCTTCTTTAGCAGATAATGATTTTACAGTAAGCGCGACGTTTTAGGATGTGGCAGGTTTGGAGAGGATTTGGAAGGGTCTTTGCGGTGGTAGAGGCAGCGAGAGGCCACCAGAGACGCATGTTCCCTGAGAAACCAAGACATCTGTTGTCTGTGAGAAGAGAGCACACGGAGGAGACGTGGGACCGAGGGGGTCTCTGTAGTCCAGTGTGCACTGTCGTTGGCTACGCTGACTGACTAATTGGGTACGAGGCCTGTGCGTGAGCATGCGAAGATGGGTTGTCTGGGTGGCAAGCCAAAGAGGAAGGAAGACAGGCCACCTCATTCCCACCGGATGAGGAAAAAAAGGACAGAAAACAAAAAAAAAAGAAAAGAACAGGAGTAATAATAGATGCCTCCCCAGTCCCCCATTCCTTCTCCTCCCACCCTCTTAACCCCCCGCACCCTCCTTCACTTCCCTCTGTAGCCCTTCCAGACCCAGACTCCAGACTAGCCTCATCCTTGTAATTTAGATTAATTTCTTCCACATTTTCCTCAGGGATTAGGCTACAACCCACCCCCCACCACGATGCCCCCCCCCAAACAAACATACATGCACGCACACTCAGCTCACCCCCTACAATAGTTGCCTAATGCTCTCATTATTGAACGACATTCCCCTCGCAACTTGCCCTGGCCCAACCCCCAACACCCCCCGCACACAAACCCAAACATAAACTGAAAAAAAAAAATCTCTCAGCAGACTTGATCTTTCACGGTCATTAAGTTGATTTTACTTTTAATTAAAACAACTAAAGACTGATTGTGTTTTAAGCATTGCTAACGAACTTGTCTCCACCAGAGTTTTTCCGCTCATTTCATTTTAAAATATGCAAGAAGTTGCCTTTAACGTAAACCGAAAAACACAAACCATTGGACATAAAACTGACCGCTGAAAGTGTACGGTGGTTTGACGTCTACAAAGACACTGTCATCACACCCACTTTAACTCTGTTTGGTAGATGCTTGAGGAGCTTTTTTCAGGGGAAATGTTCACCACTAGTTGGCGGCATTGCTACAATGCTGAAAATTGAATTATTTGGTGTTTGTCGTTGTATGGTTATCGCTTGTCGCTAAAGTAATCCTAGCACGACCCAAGTCATTGTGTTGTTTGAAGCTCTACCTGCGGTTGACATAGGGGTCTAAGTTGGAACAAATTTAAAAAACAGTAAAAAAAAATCTGTTTTTCCAGTATTCACAGTTAATAAATAAGGAACAGGAAAGCAGCTGTTTGCAGTGAACGTATATGAGTCTGATCAAATGTGATCTTCCTAGTTTTTGACTTCTGTTGAATACAGACAGTATTTCAGGGTAACTCGAGGTGTTCCGTTTTAATTTGAATTTAAATATAAATTAAAGGCACACAGGCACCAACCGTGGCCGTGAGAGACTCAAAAGGTTCATCACGGGAACCAGAAAATAATCTGTCAAGCAAAGACTTGTTGCCTTAATTATACCATTATTTCAATCAATTTTTATCTCCGAACGGCATTTTCCCATTTTCTCAGCCAACCTTTCGTAGCTGGCAAGCCTCAGAAAGTAGACATGGGTCGACATGACTTTTAACTGTTAAGCACTTATTAATCCCACTTACTTTCATGCATTCATAATAGTTTTTTCATTTTTTTCTCTTCCTTTTAGTTTACTGGAAATTTAATAAAAAAACACTAAATACAATTGCGGAGTGTTAACACATTGTAAAACATTGTAAACAGCACAGTAAACAAGGAATATGTTTATTTAGTCCAATAAAAACTGTAGTTACTTTTAGAGAGAAATTATTGGCTAAGTATTGACATCAACAACAACAAAAACAACAACAAAGGTGTTTGTGTGAAACTATTTTCTTCTTCTGGAGATGTTTGTAGTTGGTTTATACGTAGTAGATATAGTAGTAGACTAACGCACTGTGAGGTCAATATGGGCAAAAGAAGTCTCTACGTAAAGGACACAGTTTAAAACCCTGAAGATATGATTTAAAAAATGCTCTGTTACACATGAGAGCTGCAGAAGTCCAATGGTACTTATTTAATTGATAACTTAACTTACTTAATTTTATGTAACCAATAGCAATGAGACATGATTTTTAAAAAAATCTCTGTTGTGTCTCTGCTTGTACCAGGTTTGTTGTCGCTACTGTTAGCTTAGGTTTGTTGTAGATAATGTTACCTTAGGATTATTGTAGCTAATGTTAGCTTAGGTTTGTTGTAGCTAATGTTAGCTTAGGATTGTTGTAGCTAATATTAGCTCAGGTTTGTTGTAGCTAATGTTAGCTCCGGGGGTATCTCACCAAAGTAGAATAACTATATCCATTATAACTGAGGTAGTGCGGCTTGACTTATTCTGATCCGCCCATCTTGGCTTAGTTGGTTGCCCGTACGCAGAGCTAGGAAGAAAAGGCGTGGCTATGTCAAGCCAGGTGTAGACATTCCGGATTAGTGCGTGTCCACGGTATTCTTAAATAGACCTTGGAATCGCACACAGTCACCGATAGTTTTCCCAAATACTCCTTCATCATCCAATGCCCTGATTATAACATCTCATTTACTGTACAATACTCAGAGCTGTCACTGTTGCATCAAGCTAGCACAACCTAGCTTCATTTCAGATGCAAAGCCACATACTATATTAATCATTTTCATAAAAAGACTTGAAAAATAATAAATAAAAACCCATAAATGAAAAGTTTGCCTAGAAATATGTGGATATGCACTAGTAATTTACTGTTCTAATAATTTCCTGAAAGGTCTTAAATATTTTTTTTTTCAAAAATGATTAAAAATGCACTAATTTCAGAAGTAACTTCAGAAAAAGTCTTTATTTTTAAAATATGTAGCTTTGTGCTTTCTCATCTTTAAAATTTAGGAAAAATCTAAACAAGCTGGTCCAAAATGATGAGGCTCTGTGCTTTCTCATCTTCAAAATTCAGGAGAACTTATTTTTGTTACGTGAAGAATCACTCAAGAATGAGATATTATCCTAATAATGTTTTAAAAAATTCATAAAAAATACATTCAGTCGCTCTTCAGTTGAGACAATCCAATTTTAAACTTTTGATTTACATCAGTAAACCTCGTGTTGCTGTTTTTTCTTCATGTTTTATGACTTCACAAACAAAGACGTAGCTATGACTGGTGTCACTTCACACAATAACATTCCCTCTGTTTTTGTTACATTTTTCGTCACACATTTTCTCTTCGGCCCATTTATCTTCTCTCTGAGAGGCGGCCAGATGACAAACTTAATCGTCCAGGATTGGATTGCTCCTAATTCCTGTAAGTGAGACGCACACTGACATTTTCAGCTCAAATGATCATGGAGCTTCCTGTGTTTACCGAAGTAGACTTGGACTCCTGATTTACACGAGATTCTGCTATCAGGGAGATGACTTGTGATGACTGATGACATAGGGTATTAAGACTATGGCTTCTCTCATAAAGTGGTTACAGTGGTTGGGAACTGCAAACAAGCGATTAGTCTCACTGCAAATGAGCCTTAATGTACAACAGATTTCAAAAGGCGGTCATAAAAAAAAAAAGAGCGGTCAGGACGAATGGAGTCGATGAACACGTGGGACACAATGTTGTGGGATTGGTTACAGTACGCAGACTAAATCAGCTCTGGAAAAGTACTGTACTCGAAAATTTAACAGAAAATAGGTAATTAAAAGAGAACAAATCATAAAGGTCGGTTTGTTCTCTGTCTTTGCCGACAACTTTATCCATGTGACTCGAACACAACTTGACCTACATAAAAAAGGTCATTCAGTCAGCGATGGCATGTAACACGACTACAGTTCAGTGAGTCTGAAATTGACAAGTAGCCCTGGGCATCGCAGTGACATTAAAAGATTTCTGTTAATATGTCAGAGATAATCGCTGAAGTTGTAAGTGTTTTTCTTTTTCATTCTCAGAGGGAAAACGAGCAGCAGCAGAAGCTGAGGGGTAACCCTGACACGTTCATGCCTGTCGTCCTTTCCCAGCTTCGTGAGGTGCGTCACTCGTGAATCACTCACAGTGATTCACAGTTCAGGTGATACACTGTGTGAGTTTCCAGATTTTGGATAGTTGGGAAATAAAGAAGGTCCATGTCAAAACAGGCAGAGTGATAGATCAGAATTGAATCATGAAGAAACATATAAATACAAAATGTAGGACAAAAAAATAGAAAGTTTAAGATCTCATTTAAAAGGTTTTTCTTCTTTGGTTTTATATCTTAAAGGCACCAA